ATTTAAAGGAATGTGTTAAATTTATATACAGTATAGCCAGCACAATATATTTTAACATAATATATTACACATTTTTATATTTGATAACTAAGTTTTGATGTAAGAAAAACAAGCAAATTATCCTACAAAGTGATTTTAGTTTCAGGATATTGTGACAGATTTTTGTTTTTATTTCAAGGGATTTTGGTTGCTTGTGATCACTTCCTGTAGCAGCTGCTGGGAGTTGGCTTTTGATTGCAGTGTAGGAAAATCTGTAAAACTCTGCTAGAGGCAGACTCAGGTGTGAAAATGATGAATGTGGGGTTTGTTTTGTTGCTGTTTAGCTCTGCCTGTGGTGTGCTAATGGAAGATGCTGAACTGGAGTGGGAGAGAAAGACAAATGAAGAAGGTTCCTCACCTGCATTCAAAATGTTGGGAGCATCGGTTGAGGGAGCTACAGAAGACAAATCAAAGAAGCTTCCTGAATATCTCACTGTTCCTATTGCCAATGATCATAAAGAGGATCTAAAGCCAGAAATGGGTGCTAGACAAATCCCCAAATGGCTTCATAAAGTTCTGCAGGGTGTCCCTGCCACTGTGTCTCGTGCTGAAGGAGCAACACAAAAATCAGATTTGATTGGAGTTCTGTGTTATCTTGACAGAATATATGTAAGAATCAAAAAGAACGTTTTTAAGTCTGAAGATGCACACATGTATTTGGCACTAGGTAGTTGCCCTTTCAACCAGRTTAATGAAGACTACTACTACTTTCTGTACCATTTGAAAAGCAACTGTGGATTCAAAACAGAGGTTGGTTAAAATTACCCCTCCCTCCTTATTTWTTTATTAACTTGACAAAACTYACATTTTGTTTTTCCTTGCAGAGTTTTCCAGATTATCTGTCCATCAGCATTCCACTCCACTACAATCCAACTGGTCCAGTTTTAAGAGAAATGCCATTCGACATTCCTCTGCAGTGCAAATACCACAGGTAAGATTTATGGTTTTATAAACTTTTAGATGGATTTAGAACAATTTTCCTCAGCTTTTGTGAGCATGTTTTTTCTGTAACTATTGCAGGTTGTTTTACTCGTATAAAGTTGGCTTTCATCCCAAACTACAAGGAAGGACCGTTTACAAAAAGCTTCAGTCAAACAGTACTTTTACCATTTCGCCTCAAGATGGTATGCTTTGCAAATGTTGCTTTCTGTCGTTTCCTRTATTAAAAGTTGTAAACAAGCTTGTAGATTTAAAATGATTTAAAACACTGAGAGAAGTGGGAGAAATGTACCTTTTTAAAAGCAACATCATAAACTAGCAGAGATCTTTAAACATAAACAAGAAAACACAAATCATGAGAAAGATGTCAGAATAAATGTGTGAAAGCCATTGCTGCTAGCTTTATTTGATAAAGATTTTATGGTCGTAAAATGAGAAAGCTTTTAATTAGACAAAGTTTTATTTGAACTTTTTATTTTCATGAAAATATTCTTCATCAGTTAAAATGTAAGCAAATCAAAACAGAAAATGCTATAAACAGGCATTCAGAAGTAAAAAATAATAATAAATCTGCATTTATGTGCTTGCAATTTTTTAAAAAATGAATGAAATTTACATTACTTCTTTGGCTTGTAATTTTAATCCCATAACAGCATTTGGGAAATTAATCACCAGCAAAAAAATCTACAACTTGGGGGATGCACTGCACTTTGAGGCTAATGGACATGACAACACCGGAGAAAAGAGGATTTACATCAATAAGTGCTTTGCGACTGCCTCTCAAGACCCGTACTCACATCCTCGATACACGGTCATTGATAATAAAGGGTAATGTTTTTACAGTTGAATTATAAAAGTTTTTTTGCTTTTGATAACTGTGTGTTTCCTGCAGCTGTATGGTTGATGGTAAGGTCACGACACAGTCAAAGTTCCTCACTGGTGACTCAAAGATGATCCAGAAATTCAGTGTGGGAGCCTTTATTTTCAAAGGTCTTTCCTCCACCTCTCCACAGGTACGGTAAATAAATAGAAATAACATCATGCTTTCTAATAAAGTATTTCAATGAACACTAAAATATGTTTTTTTCAGCAATTCTACATGCACTGTGAGATGTTTTTAGGACCATCTACTCCAACCCCGAGTTCAAAGGCGTGCAATTACGATCAGGCTACACAGAAGTGAGTTGTTAAACCTGCCTGCACAGGAGTTTGTTGGCAGTTGCATGTGTGCCTGATGGCAAAAGCTGCAGCTGTATTTTGACCTGATAATCTTGTTTATGCTTTAGGTGGAAGGAGCTCTACGGTAAAGACTCGGTGTGTGACTGTTGTGAGTCAACATGCCAGTCAGCAGAACCAGAGGGTGAGTTGCCACCTTTTTTTTTTTTTTTTGCAGAAAGGAGAAGGTGTAGTAAAACTGTCCCATCAAATGAAGCATTTATTTGCACGATTCTAAATGTGCTCTGTGACTCATCTTTAAAAGACAAAAATAATGTTTGACAAGCTAATACTGGTGCAAAGTGCATTTAAAAAAAGAAGMTTGCAAAAATATGATGCAAATAAAAAAATGAAAATATTACGTCCTGTTTCAGCAGAGTYTGAGAATGCCGTCTCTGTTCACCTTTGGAACGGTGACTCTGAAGATAAATTTGAGGAAGCTGACCACCTGATAAAACCTGCTGATACTAATCCAGTGAACTGAAAAGAGCGTGCAGACGTTTGTGACTGAGCAAGACTAAAAATATAATATGTTTTATTTTAAATAAATGTTGGGGACGCACTCATTGCACGAGCTTATGAACTATTTGTGATTTTAAAAACTTTTCTCAAACAAAAAAGCTGSTATCGTTTATACGCTGAGCAACGTATTCATGTATCAGCATGTGTGCGTTTCGAAGCATCTCCTGGAAATGACGGACGGCRTTTTTGTAAATGCAGTTATGAACCACAAAGGGATGGAAGAGGTTCACTGGTTTGGCTCTGGTGAACTCTCTGGGAACGTYGATGACCTCGGCTAAAGGGTTACCAATGAGAACGTGGGTTAGCAGCTTCTTCTCAAGGCTTTYCTCTATGAACTCCAGCAAGTCCTGCAGCCTGCAAGCCACAAAGTCTGGATTCCACTGCGAGGATTTTTTGGTCAACAGAAGGTGCATCATTGCCATTTTGAAATGCCTTTCTTTCAGTTCGGTACACCCTGACAACGATGTCTGCCTCTTGTGAAGAAAACAAGCAATCTCAAGAGTTTGATTATGGCAGGAGTTTTCAGGGAGGTGTTTGGAGAAGTATTCCAAAAGGCGGTCTTCATAGTTGCTCAGGGAGAGAGTCCAGAAGATGTCCAATTTACTGGAGGACCAGGGATTAATGGAAAAATGAGCATCGGTGTTGAATTTAATCACCGGATTCATGTTGAATAAAATCATCTTCCCTGATCTGAACCGAATGACCAGCGAGCCTGGAGCCTCCATGTAGCGRATGTTGAGCTCAAACTCGTACTTATGTGAAATCTGTGCCCACGCTTGTTTGATGGTGTTCTGAAACCACCTGGAAACCTTCGCTTTAGACAGGAAAGGAGAGTTTTTGGCGCACAGACCATCAGAAACATCCACCGTTTTTGTTTTTACCTTCTCACCCTCACAATGCAGCAAACAAACCATGTCTTCATCCACGTCAGAGGACTGGCAGGGGCAGCCATTTTGGATTTTCTTTTCTTCCACCAGTTTTATTCGACCACAGACTTGCATGTCCGACAGCAGGTCGCTCGCTTGGTTGTTTCCGAGCTGACACTGAAATCTGTAYGGCTCGGGTGGCGTGAAATGAACGACGATATCACACGCGTTCACCACCCGAAAGTCTTCCATCATCATGCTGCCCTTGTCGTCACAGACGCTCCTCATGGCGTCTAAGAGATCKTTTGCAAAACCTTCCAAAAACTCGCCCTCCCTCCACTTCTTCTCAGATGAGATTTGAACACATTTCGCATAAAACCGGTGCAGAGTAGCAACATCAGGTAGCAGGACTTGTGCAACTCTGCAGACTGCAGGAAAGGTCCTGGTTACCCCCTGATCCACTTGAAAATTCCTCCTGACGTACTTCCTGACAAAGTTAATCATAGAAATAATGGAGAATGTGTTCCACATAAACCAGAGGTAATCTCTCTCCCACTCCAGGGCCCTATCTGCAGTTTCAGTTTCTGCAGCCTTGGTTTGGACGTGAAGAAAAGGTGATCTTTGTTCTTCCATCTCCTCAGGCTTTTTGTTTCCACCTTGGAGACTTGCTGGCTCTTTGGAAGAGTTGTTAGTGAGGATGTATTTTCCATTTTCCTCAGTCYGTGGTTTACTGTCATGATCTTCTTGCAGATTTGTAGCAGATTTCGCAACACTAGCTGGTAATGTGTGATCAGCCCCCTCTCTTGGTTCCTCGGGAACAATCACATCTGATTCTGATAGTTTATCCTTTTCAATCGGATGCTGATCAAACCAATTGTGTCGCTCGTCCCACTCCTCGACACCAGGGTCTCTCGGACACAGCAGAAGACCCAACGCCACCACAAACACCCGCAGCACCGTTTCTTGCATCATCAGTTCCGTCTGTCAAAGGTTTGGGGAGCAGAAATCAGTTCATTTAAAAAGTACAYCATCAATGAAATGAGTGAGATGGAACGGTCAAATAAAAAAATAGCAATTACATGAATGTTTTTAAAGAAACGATGCAGGTGAAATAGATTAAAGTGACTTCCTTAACTGCCGAAAGCTTCTACGTTTATTTATTTTTTGTTCCATTTTAAGGACAGGATGTAAAGCACCAATACTTGATCAAYGGGAGGGGAGAAAAATACACACCTGGAAAAGAGAATTTTGAGCTCAGCWCAATGTTCCGATGAAGTGCGAGTAGATCTTGAGTAGGAAACAACCTTTACGCACCAACAAGCCGAGGTCTCTTCCTATTTTAGATGTAGGTTGCGACTCACTTCCTGTGCACCCTGCCCATGTGCTCTATTGACACGTTACTGATGTGCAGAAGAGAAAACGTTTGAGCTGACTTCCTGAAACGCTGACTGCACACTCAGTCATTAAAAGAGTTTCAGCCATATTCTGCTGCAGCAAATATCAGGATGCACACGGTTGTTCAGACACTGAGTCGTAGGATTTAGGACAACAAACTGCCTTTTATGTTGTTGTGGGTTTCTAACTGGTTTGTCGAGCTCCGCTTCATTCTGTGGAAATGGGGTGTTCAAAGGGAAATAAAATAATCCCTTATAGATTATKTAATATCACATTTTACAGGTTATATACTGTAGGTTTATCTCTAAGCATTTATCTCTAAGATTCACTTTAGCCTGTAGCAGGACARTCACATTTTCCAGCCAAAGCCACAGAAATTTGAATGGCTTGACAGCGTTTTTGCATGTCTAGATTGTTCAAACTACACATGAACAATGCTGCACCCTGGACAATCGGATAGCTCGGATTGACACAAAAGACACGGTTTTCATATTGTAAAATATACGCAATCTGAAAGATGAAAAGGACAATAGAAAGTATGTTTGTGTTTTCTGAATCTTTTGAACGAGTGTGTTGAACAAGAACCTTTTGTCAAGTCACGGTAACCCAGGTGTCTAAGGGAGGGGCACGACGACGGCTTCAGGTTTTTACATCATCAGAGAGTTCGAGAAGTACTTTACAGTCGATCGGATGTGTGTACTTCGAACGGAGCCACAGTTCATTTACTATGGCCTTTAATTTTACGGTTATTTGCATCTGATCATCCACTCTTCAGTAAAAAGGTAAGTTGTTTTTAATCCATATTTAGAGTTTTGTTTGTTTTTTTGTTTAAATGAAAGCTGGTTAAAGAAAAACAGTAACTTAAACTCTTCCTGCTGAAGAAATCTTTTTTACTCGAAAGAAAACTAAAGAGTATCAGCTAACATGAATCTACTGTAGTGCCAACTTTTCTGGTTTAAAACAAAATTATTATTATTATTATTTAACCTCCTGCTAAACAGGATAACAGCAGTCATACTTTTAACAACCAGACATTTGTCTGAATCTGGTCTTTAGATCATGACATACATATTTTGAGGATCAGCTAAAACAGAAGTGATGTACTTCTCATGGGAAATATTTGTGCAAGTGACAGATTGTTGTACCTTTTTTCATACGTGCATTTTGGGAAGTTACAACCAGACACTTTCAAAGTGTTGACTTTACAAATGAAAATTTAAAAACTTGGGTGTACATCTGTCCACTTTAATTTGACATTCTGAACTAAAATCTTAAACAGCCGATTGTCTTCAGAAGTCATTTGATTTAGATATTTAAATGTATCTTTACCTCGGTGTGTGATTGTAACTTAATCTGTTTAATTCCAACTGTTCTGTGARGGCCTCAGATTTGTTACATAACATTAGTGATCAAACAGCATCATGAAGACTAAGGAACACACCAGGCAGTTTTGTATTAAAATTCTAGGTTTAAAGCAGGGTCATAAAATGCCAGGAAAATAAATARAAGTTTTTGACTGTGACGAGACAGGGTGTAAATCTTTTTTTAAGGCACTGCTACTTGTTACTAATTAAAATTACTCCAAACAGTTTATTTCTTTTCACAGATTTACCTCTGAACCAAAGGCCCACCACACCTCACAAAGATGGATAAGTTTCGGATGATGTTCCAGTTCCTCCAGTCCAACCAGGAGTCCTTCATGAATGGGATTTGTGGGATCATGGCGTTAGCAAGTGCCCAGATGTACTCTGCCTTTGAGTTCAGCTGCCCCTGCATGCCAGAGTACAACTACACCTACAGCGTTGGCCTGATCATCGTCCCTCCCATATGGTTCTTTTTGTTGGGTTTTGTACTGAACAACAATGTGTCTGTGCTGGCCGAGGAGTGGAGGCGGCCCACTGGGAGCCGATCAAAGGACCCAACCATCCTGCGCTACATGTTTTGTTCAATCACACAGAGATCCCTGATAGCACCTGCAGTCTGGGTGTCTGTCACCCTCATGGATGGGAAGAGCTTCCTCTGTGCTTTCAGCATCAACCTGGACATCGAAAAGTTTGGGAATTACAGTTTTGTCAGAGAGATGTCGGAGACTGAGAAGCTTAAACTGCTGGCAAGAATTCCCTGCAAAGATCTGTTTGAGCATCAGGAATTAAGAGTGGCTGCGTCTCGATACATCAAGTGTATTTCACAGGTACCTTATTAACATATRAGGTTGTCAGCAAGGCTCTTTTTGAATTAATTGAATGAATTTATTTGTTTAGGACAATGTGCAAATTAAAACAYRAAAACATTTGATGCATTGCACCAGATTTAGCCTAAGGCTAATTTACACCTGTAGTCCTAGACAGTAAAAATAGAATAGAATAAAGTGTGCAAATAAATAAATAAGCCATCAATCATCACAACAGTTTCAATAAAATAAAGAGAGGATTGTATGGGGTGCCATTTGTRACGACACACAGTCAAACATTACCAGCAATAGTTTGCTTTATTTAGCCTTTCATGAAAGAAATAGGGGTTTATTTTTTTCAAAGTCAGGTTTTTACCGTGTTATTCATACCTTTTTTATAAATATTGTTCCGAACTAAATATTTAATTAAAATTTTATGTTTAATTTATTTATATTTAGTTTACAAGCTACATATTGAACTTACAAATTAAAAATTTAGTTAGCAAGTGTTAAGTTTGCAAGCTAATATTTAGTTTACAAACTAAATACTCAACTTACAAATTAAATATCTTGTTAGCAAGCTAAATATTTAGCTTCAAACTAAATATTTAAATTTACAAACTAAATACTTACAAATTAAATATTTGGTTAGCAAGCTACATTATTAGTTTGCAAGCTAAATATTTAGTTAACATACTAAATATAGCTCCAAATTAAATATTTAGTTAGCAAGCTAAATATTTAGCTCCAAACTAAATATTGAGTTTGTAAACTCTATTTAGTTTGTAGCTAAATATTTATTTTGCTAATTAAACATTTATTTGCTAGTTAAATGTTTAGTTTGTGAACTAAATATTTATCTTGCTAACTGAATATTTAATTTGCAGGTTAAACATTTTGCTGGTAACTTAAATATTTATTTCATAAGTATGACATTTATAAACGCATAAATAACATTTTCAAAATATGACTTTGAAAATTAACCCCTAGTTTTTTTTTCTTATGAAAGTCTAAATAAAGCTAAATATTGCTGGTAATGTTTGACTGTGTAACTTTACAAATGGCACCCCATAGCATTAACATAGATAAATAGTTCCTTGTACTTTGTTTTTTAGATAAAGCTCTCTTTAGCYATAATAAATGAGTATTTTCTTTCACAGGCATGTGGGTGGATGTTTTTGCTCATGATGACCTTTACTGCCTTCCTKATCCGAGCCATAAGACCCTGCTTCACCCAGGCGGCCTTCCTCAAAACCAAGTACTGGTCCCATTACATCGACATCGAGCGCAAGATGTTCGACGAGACCTGCAAGGAGCACGCCAAGAGCTTCGCCAAGGTTTGCATCCATCAGTACTTTGAGAACATCAGCGGCGAAATGCAAAGCCTCCACCGCCATCACGTGGGCAAGGATGACGGCGAAGACGACGACAGGAGCGATGAAGACAAGCTGCTGGGGATCAGGGCTCAGAATGATATGAACAAGGTTTTATGGAACTGGCACACCCAAAAGCCGGCTCTGGCCCTGAGAAAGAACCAGAGCGATGGTGAAAGCGAGGAAAAACTCAGTGGAAAGATGAATGGAACACTAAATGGGTTTGCAAACGGACACGCCTGCGACGTACAGAAACGGGAATGGGCTGTGTATTACAGTAAGGTCTGACAAGCTCAGGGATGAAAATGTTTGATTTGTAGTTTCCAGACATTTCCTGCATTTTGAAGCTCTATAATGACCACTTTTAGAAAAATTAGATATTGAATTTGAATTGTAGTTTTAAATTCTAATTCAGTTTTATTTATTGAAAGTTTGTTGTACAGATAAAAATAAAATATAAGAGTGCAATATGTATAGGTATAGGTGTGTGAAAAAAAAACCCTACTTGTTATAAAAACTAGACATTTTAACACGTTTGAGCAACAGTATGGAAGAAATGTCTTATATAGGCAGTATTCTTTAAAAAAGCAATGGTCTCATTAGGGTTGGGCATAATYGTATCGTGTGCAATTAATAGTCAGAAAACATTAATCGATTACTTTTTGGCACTTGACGATTAATACAATTAATGCCACCAGGCAGACTGACTGGATATTTTCCCGGTCAGTCTGCTTGTTGCTCCTCTCTGCTTCAAATGTGATAAACATTAAAAATAAAGTTCTGTAATTTATTTATCTATAAACACAGTTTAAAATACGATGTATAGACTGAAATCTGTAATTTTCACACAATTTGGAAATTTTTTTTTTACAAATAGCAAATCTTTCCCACTAAATTGGTCATGTGACTAGGACATAAGGGTGTCCAAGGACTCCAGGGGATGAATTATCAAATTAATCGTTATCGGCTAAATACCACAATTAATCGTGATTAATTTTTTTTGCCAATATTGCCCAACCCTAGGTCTCATTAAACCATAATCTCAAAAGCTGGATAACAAGGAATCTGACCATAAAGTCAAAAGGCTTAAAATTGATGAAAACATGTTTGGTAATTTTCAGGGAGTTTAACACAAGAGCAGAACACCTGGTGTAGAAAGAAACAAAAAAAAAATCCAAGTTTTTATATCAGATCATACAAGAAACTGCAGCTCTTGTTCACATCAAAAAGAAATTGTTTTTAACTTTCAGAAATAGAAATAACCAAATAATTCATGCTGAAATCTTAAGGGATGGTTGCAACTCAAGGTGGAGATGCTGTGGTTTGGACTATATTCAAATTACTGTAATCAATTCATTTATTAAATCTGCATCAGAGCAGAAGCACTTTGCATGAACGAACAGGGTCTTTAACTATTTTTCCACACAGGTGGTTTAATGATCACTTGTCAACTCTCTTCATAAAATCCAGATTAAGTCCAAATGAACTCAAACGRTGCATGTACAGCGGCTCTGCAAGCCAATGATGCTTAATGTTGCATTATTTATTTTGCTTGCCTGCATTTTTAAAGACTTTTGTGAATATTATTGATTTGCTACAAATACAACTGAACTGATTTCAGCTCAATCATCATTGTCATTGTCAGCGTTAAGAAGAAAATTTATCAGACTTGGTTTGATCGTTACAATAATCATGGATGTCATATTAGTTTTATTTATGAAAAGACAAGAAGTCTGAACCGGATTCACCTGAAATTGAAAACCAGTGCTTAAAAATGACATAAAAAAAGTTCTGGCAGCTGGAAAAAATAAAATTAGTACTTATTTTCACAAAAAGGGTTTCTGAGACTTTAGGGCAATTACTTTGTTAGTTGAAGCGTTTGCATTTCAAACTGACAGTCCTGAACTGATTCAAGCATTTTCTCTCGGGTAGGTTAAACTTTAATGTTTTATTTTTACAGTTATTCAGATCCAGCTCATTCAACACAAAACAACCTCTGTTATTACTGCAAACACCGAGTTGATTTTCTGGTGCTTAAACCGACATTTCTGCATAGATTTTACTACTGTGTGATATTTACACAGAATAAACAGTTTACTGACAAACAATCTGTTTTCTTTACAACCTTTAACGCTGCTAATTTTCTCTTGTTTGTTTCAAAGAAAATCACATCAATAGTACATGGAATAAAGATGCATTATGAATAAAATGGTTATTTTTTATGTAAAACAACTTACACAAGTTCTTCCAGCCACAGGCAGCAATATGAGCATCTGAGGCTTTGGGTGTTGTTAAGAAAAAAGCTAAATTTTTGTTAGATGACGAATAGTTTTAAGAAAAAAGTAGCAATTTAATCAAAAGCTGCTATTTCCCCCCTGTTCAAGTCTGCTTTATTGACCTGAAGGCAATTCAAGACATTCTGAGATTTCTGTATTTAATAAAACAAATTCCACAAGCTGTTTTGTTTTTTTTGTGATTTTACTTTTTTTTCTGAAGAAAAAGATATTTGACAAATGAGGCATACACACCAGCAGCAGCTTGATTCACATAAATGTCTTAAATTTGTCGTCTGTTTTTACCATCATTTTTCCCGATCTGTCACGAGTTCTTATCACAMACACTCTCTGCCACTGCCCTCCCTCTGAGAGACTCCACCAAAAACCTAAAGCTCATTAATTCCACAGCTAATCAGAGCTGCTTAATCAGGCAGAGAGGTAGGAATTCTTCCTGCAGCACATTGGAGGCTTCTCATTGATGACATCWTTAATGACTGTTTGTGTTGCTCTCAGAGACCTCAGAAACGTCCCCAGAGCTCAGGAGAGAATCACTGGACGAAACAAAAAAGGCTGAATCATTAGCAGGTTTAGGAACAATTATGAGTCCAAGCATCATCCCAGTGTTTGTGTTTGTTGTCAGATGACTCTTCTTTCCAGTAACTGTCAGGTCGACGCAGGATTCCTGTAAAAACCAAGAAGGCTGCAGCCAGAATATTTACAAGTCCCGAAGAACACCACGTCAACATTTGCATCTTATTTGTTCACCCCTCGTGCTGTTCTGAGCAACACCAGCTGCAAAAACTTAGTTCACTCACGCTGAGCTTTTTTCCCCTTTTAAAAACAGTTCTTCAGCCAAGAACTGTTGGAGTCAACGCTGTTTGTCTGTTAAAGGGATCCCCGATTAGTTGTAACATTAGACTTTATTTGATAAACATTTATTTTAACTGTAAAATAAAGACTGTAAAAATACTGTAGGCTGTTTAGTTTTTGTAATTTTTCAAAATATGTTTTAACACTGATGGAGCCATTTTATTTACACACAAAGCATTCTGGGTAAATGATGACGTGGATAGGTCTTCGGCGTGATTGAGCTATATCCACCCTGAAGGTTAATCTTGGACAATATCTGATGATCGACTCTTTTAAATGAAACCAGAGAG